CATTCTATGATTCTATGATTCTATAAGTACTCCATCCACATTACAAAGTCAGCTTGTATCCTTGATTCCTTAATTTGTCTGTGCAAGCTGCACTACAGAAGGAAAAACTTCCATAATGACAAGGTTCCTGCCTGTAACTGTCTCTACGCAAATTGGTAATTTTCCCAATTCTCAAAAAGCCCTACATAAAAAACATGCACTAGGAATACTTATGTACGGACAGTTAAGCAGCATTCCCTAGTAAAAACAGTTCAATAAGTAAATGGTATGACATCTATCAAAGTCAGTTGGTATTTTTTGTAACGTAGGACTTGAAGTCATCTAAAACATGTCTTCCCTCTTTTTATGAGGACAGTATCAAAGCTGAGTCTTTAGAAGGCACAGCTTATAATTCAGTTCTTCTATTTAGGAGCCAACATACCACAACAGAAGTAAATCAAGCATCTGGCTTTTTATTAAAAGCTCTTCTTCCTTTTCAGTATACTCCTCTGCCTATGGCTACGGGGAAACCTTTTCTTTAAATTCTGGAAGAACAATTTAACCTGTTTTCAAAAACAGGGTTTGTCATGTACCTGCCTAGATTTCAGTGTGACCACAATTTCTTGCAGCTACTCAGAGAGAAGAGACAAAATATTTACTTGTGTGCTACATGCAGACAGGAACTACCCTTAGATTACTTTTAAAAAACAGTACGAATGGATTCTTACCATAAAGCGCTATTTTATTAAAGAAATGAAAGATACAAGCAAGATTGTTTAAGTCCAATCACCAATGCTGAAATTTTTTGTAGGCACATGATTTTGGAAGGAAAGAGGGCTAGAAAGAGGAAGGTGAAACAGAGTGCTAATTTCCCTCACATTCATAGTGGAAAGAAGACAGCTACTGTCCATCTTGTCCCATTTTAGAATAGTGTAATTCATTAGGTAAGAACAGGTCAATTGTTTGTTAAGATTCAACACACATTTCATGGTAAACGAAAACTTTTACAGTCATCAATCCAAATGAAACCAGTCTCAGGTACGACCACAGCTGCACATGGAGAAGCACTGGTTAGAATTACTAAAAATCTATCTGATGTGTTACTAAAAGAATGCACTGGCAGAACTCAGCTACTTTTCGGCCTGTTTTTAATGGGCGCCTGAACTTCCTGTGTGTACCTCTGTACTTCTTGGCCAAATTTCATTCTGAGAGAGGACTACTCACAGTGGATCATAAAAGAGTATTTTTGGCAGCTGCAAGCATGCACAAATGAAAAATATAACTCAAGCAAAGCCTTATTGTGTTGCTAAAATGAATCTTAAGTGAGAACAAGCTTCTATTTACAAAACCAGCCAGAGTACTGCATCCAGCTCTGGGGCCCCCAGAACAAGACAGACAGGAAGTTAGAGCACATCCAGGAAAATGATCAGAGGGCTGGAACATGTTCCCCGTGAAGAAAGGCTGAGAGAGTTGGGGTTGTCCACCCTGGAGAGTAAAAGGCTCCAGGGAAGCTTCCCTGTGGCCTTTCAATACTTAAAGGGGGCTTATAAGAGAGATTGAGAGAGACGTTTTAACAGGGCCTGTAGTGGCAGGATAAGGGGCAACAGTTTTGAACAGACTGGATATAAGAAATTTTTTACGATGAAAGTGCTAAGACACTGGAACAGGCTGCCAAGAGAAGTCATGAACGGCCCATCACTGAAAGTGTTCAAGGTCAGGCTGGATGGGTCCTTGACCGACCTGGTCTAGTGAAAGATGTCCCTGTCCAGGCAAGGTGGGGTGGAACAGATCCTCAAAGGTCCCTTCTAACCAAACCATTCTATGAATACTTCAGCATATCACAAAGCAATTCACCTTAAGCAATCTATTGCTATTTAGATTACAGCACTGCTTCCAAACAAAGAACAAATTCACACTCATTCACACTACATTAAAATTCCAGGTTTCATCATTAGATCTTCAGGACATTGTTACTCTGTATACCCAGAAAAAGGCACGTATTGATAGCGTCACATACGACTAAAATACTGGGTGCTGAGTTGTTACACTATGCATAACTTTGAATATCACATGCTGGTACATGCTGGTGACAGATAAAAAAGCCAGAGGGCTTTTTGCCACTTAACAGCCAGAAAGGGGATTATAATAAATTTCTCCTAGAAGTTTTTTAACTGACTCACCATCCAGAGGGAAGGTCCCAAGTTTTAATGGTACAGTCCATTGATGAAGTTATTAGCCAACGACCATCAGGACTCAAAGTCTACAACAAAATAGTCAATTTAATGGCACAACTGACAAGTCAGTCCCTACAGGAAGTCCTGTTTTACACCGTTCAAGATTAGATTGCTCCCTATCACCAGGATTAAATGATCTGGCCATAAACCAAAACTAACATCACCTTACTGAAAACAACAAAAGGACAAAAATGGAAGCTATTTCAGAACAGGTTTAAATATAGGACACAGGATACATCTGGCTGTTAGTAAAAGCACTTTGATCCTCACTTTTACATTAATGATGAAAAACACTGAACACAAAACTGAAGAAATCAAATCAATACTTCCTTACTAGCACTTAAGAATTAAACTAGAAGCTAGAAAGTATTGCAATGAACACTATAAAGCACTATTACACAAGATGCAAAATGAGTTGTGTGTTGCATAATCCCAGATCTGTTTACACCTTTTATTTACCTGGCTCATCTTTTCTATATATACAGTTAAGACTGTTGCACAATTTTGCTTCTCGACGTGGTTTTCATTATTCTTAATGCTTTATTTTGTTGAACCCAAAATTAGCTTGCTGCAAAGTTATAGCAAAATCTCAAAGCACACTAAAAATAGATGGCCAGCGAAACACTATACATTTTAACTTGAAAACTAACATGGCCAAAACTGCTGTAGAGCTGAACTACAACTTTACTATTCACAGCTGAACGTAATACACAGTGACTTATATACATAGAGAAATCCACCACCTTTAAACCTGTAAATGTCACCTGTTACAGAAAATGAGCTAAAAATTACCATGTCATTAATTCGTCCATGGTGTCCTGAGAATGTCCTGACAATCTTCCTGGTTTCTATATCCAAAACACTAATACTGAAGTCATCAAAGGCGATTCCCAGAATACCACTGCCAAGAATCATCAATGCATACAGTGAATACTCAGAGACAAAAAACCAAAAACATTCTAACATTGGTCCAACAATCCTTTTTCATTGGAAAATCTCAGATAATCAATATTACATTCCTTCAATCTAATAAAATGTCTTTTAGTCATTTTGTATTGTCAACAAGCAGTAAGTTATATTTCAAAGCATCAGAAATTTGTATTTTATTAGAATATTTGATTGCCATCTTAGACTTACATACTTACAGCAAAACAATATGAACACGAAATAGCTTCAGTTTCTTACCTGTCTCTGTGAAGCAGAATTCCACTTGGAGAAGAAGAAAGCTCAGTGGAGTAAACTAGCTCTTTAGTTTTGAATTTCCAAAATTTAATTAATCCTTCACTACCACCTGTGATTATCAGCTGGTTCAATCCATCCACTGCCACCCCTCTAATGGCCCCCTCATGTGCTACAAATCAACAGAAAAGGAAGTTGTGTTTCAGAATTTAAACATAGCACAGAAACCATCAGAATGCCAGACACTATCCTGTATGTCTTCACCTAACTACCCTAAATGAGCAGTAAGCATGCGACAAACAATTCTAAAGCCATCTGACAAGACGGCTTGAATATTAGAAGATTTTTTTTATCAGTACAGAAACCAAACTGCTTTCAAGCAAGCACCTAGAATACAATACAAAAGTAATGGAAGCTGAATATTAGCTTTTATTTCTGCTTTCAGTTTAGGGAGCTTTTTTCGAATGTGAGATTTGAGGGACTTTTTGAATAACTTATGGAATAATTCTAGGGGGACTGACAACTCCAGGCAAAATTCACAGCTTCAATTCTGGCACAATGTCTGTGAGTTTTCCTAGGCTGCTTTACACTGCAGTGTAAAGGTAAGACATAGCTCCTCTGGTTTTGGATCAATTTTATTTCTTTACCAATGCCTAGAGCTACTGGCCAGTAACCAAACTTATATAATTCATCCCACTATCAAGCAATTATGTTATTAGGCGATCACTTCATGTTTGCTATGCGATATGGCTTTTAGAAACCCAGTGAGGTTTACAGGGTTCATTGGGAAAATTTCCTTGTTTCTACAACAACAAAAGAAAATCAGATCACAAGACTTACAGAGCAACAGCAAACACGAGGATATATGCCATGAAATATATACGTGCGCAACCATTAAAAGCAGAAGCCTGAACACTGTCACTTACATTAAGTCCTAAGTTTGCAGCTGGGTAATTGAAAATAATAGCATATGCAGAGAACCAGACTTGCTTAGGTTTTTGTTTTCCCATGAATGTCAAGTATTCTTTCATTTTTAAGCAGAGAATGCAAAACAGATGGGAAAACTATATCTAAGAAAAAGAACCCTATAATAAGAAGCCAAGCACTGGAAATGTGATTATCTCAAAAAGAGCTGAGGCCAGACAGTATTATTTTAGTGCTAACCATTTTGGTAACTGACAGTTTTGTGTTAATTACAACCAAACATATGCTAACATCAGAGCTGTTAAAACTAGCAGGGATGCTATCATTCAGAGTGAGCTTCAGATTACTTCTGATTACAGCACAAGATAGGACAGTGCAGGGTAGAAATACTGAGGAGATACCCAAATTCAACTCAGAAGCTATATCAAATTTCCTAGATGACAGAGCACCAGGTTGTTGCTGTTCTGTTAAAAGTCACTATTTTAAAAGCATAGCAACTCTTACCTTTTTCTTTGCCATAATGTCCTCTGTGAATGCCAGACTGTATGTTATACACATCTACCTGTCCATTTGACAGCCCAATTACAGCAAAATTCCCACATGAGGTAATGTCAACTGCCTTTCAAGGGGAAAAAAAAAATGCTGTGAAAACAATTCTTTAAGTGTAAATCTAATTAGCAAAGTTGTTAGAAGATACATAACATAGCAAGAATACAAAATACTAATATGTTTGTATTAGACTTTTTCAAGGAAAACTGCACAGAACAAACAACAGATTATGCCTCAAAAAAGTTGAAAGGACATCTCAAAATAAGCAAATTGTCAACAAGTAATAAATATGGTAATGCTTGGTTATGAAGGATAATGAAACACTGACTTAGTGACATACATTAGAAGTCATATCTAATAATACCAACACTGTAACCTAAATGACTAACCTAAAGATATCTACAAATTCATTCCCTAAGATAAAGTCCAAGCCTGTCAACTGCATGTCTCTTTCAATGCCCATACTGACAATTGCACCCCAAAATAGGGTAAGTTCACACAGAGATTAAATAGTAAGAAACAAAGAAATAATGGTCTACATGTCTTTGGAAAGATACGGTCCAAGGAATCTAGTAGTCAAAAGAAAACCAGGTATTAACAACTGAACAGATCTTGTCTACCACTTAACTGCTAAGCATAAGGTCAGAAAAATAATTTATCACAAGACACAGTAGTGGTATGAACACCTAGCACATGAAGTATGCCACAGTAACTGCTTGTCTTGCAAGCTTGTAAGCCTCAGTAAACATTTATACTTCTTTCATCAAGTGTTTCACTTTCACTGTGTCCAGCTCAAGTTGTAAAGCATTTTAGAGGGAATATCCCATCTAACATTTGGAAATACATTTTTTCATATTGCCAAAAAAAATAAAAGCACCTTTAGCAATTTGGACTCACAGAGCAAGTTCATCATCACAGGTATACAGTCAACTCTATATCACTATGACAGATTAAAGGTAAACATCAACCACTTATCTGAATCAGAAAATTAAATCTGCACTTAACCTGGATGTTCAAGGAAAAAATACACATGCAGCATTGTTCTCAAGACTATATGCATTACAAAACAGCCAGGACACATTCATCTGGCAGAAAGCACTTTGCAAACCAACTAAAACATATCTAGATAGTGCTTTTTCATTCTAAATATTTCTTCTGTACAAACAGAAATCAACATAGCATGCACTGTAATGCTGAAGAAACGTTATACTAAATAAACTTACTGTTGCATATATATCAACAGGTTTGTGTTTGCTAAACTCTCCTGGCCTCAGTTTATGAGCTCCCATGGAAGTTTTCTGATAGTTCCAGGTTGTACAAGTTATATACCCTTGATGGCAGGCAACAATATTATCCCAGTCACTCTGATGTGCCACTTCTGCAACGTAACACATACTCATTTTAGAAACAATCATTCTAAAACCAAAAAAGCTCTTCTGATATAAGAAAGAGTACTCTGAAATATCTTTAAGCAACACAGTTTATATTTAGTGTTCTTGCTGGACAGTCTACCATTCAGAAAAAATACATGGCAAACCCTGTGCATATGCTAGTGTAACTAAAATGCTAACGAAGCCACAAGCATTTTTTTTCGTATGTTATGTTTCATATCTTTGTATATTTGAGTCTATGCAATCTGAAAAGCATATTCAAACTTAAATGGCTTCAACTGCTCAACCTGCACACATCTCCAGCTGAGCCTCAACTGTTTCTTCAGCTGCTGAAGCAGCAGAAGCCAATAGATTTACAACTTAAAGCAGGGTTTAAGAGTTAAATCTGCTTCACACAGCAAAAGACTTTTCTGCATTTGCAGGAAAATCACTCCTCAAAAGCTCAGTATCCAAATGGTGTAGTAAAATATGATACGGGGGGATCTAAATAATGAGCAAGTTTGGTTATTTTCCCTAGAATTTACACATGAAAAAAAAAATTGAGAGCTTAAAATTGGGTATTTCTAGAAATTCAAAGAATAAAAACCAACCAGATACAAACTGGTTCACTTCACCAAAGAAAGACAATATAGCAAAAAAGAAACAACTAATTAAAGTGTACTTAGAGAAATATTTTCTTATGTCTCCAAACACATTTAAGGTAGTTCTACTACCTTAAATCAATCAGGCAGGTCTAATATTAATTTTAAAAGTGCATATATATATATATACAGATATTTGCAACAAGTACATACAGACAGTCCATATCACTGAAGTCTGCAAATATAAATACCATATGTAGTTAAAACAGCTACACAAAACTGTAAATCTAAACCTTTCAACATATGAAACAATAAACCATCCTTGGAAGACAAAAGAATAGCTACATTTAGGACAAAAGAGACTTCAAATCAGAAGAGGAGGTCGCTAATTTAAAGAAACACATTTTGATGAAGCAAAGATAACTGCAATTCTGCTCCAAAAAGTTAGCTTCACTATTTGCATACTGAATTACAAATGAACGGAGTAAATGAAATTTGTCTTTGAAAACTGAATCAAATAAAGGAAATGGGGAATCAAAATCAACTACTATAACTAATATTTCCTCAGCTGACAAAGATCTTCATCCACTCTAATTGCTAGTGCTCCAACCTGCAATAATATTTACACCAGAAGATTCTGGCTTCCGTGCTGGAGATTTTTAAGCCAAGAGACAGTTAAACATGAAGCTGTTTGAAATAAGATGCTCTTTTTTGAAATAAGAGTTTACCATTTAAAATGTCATTTTCATTTTAAACTGTCACTCAACAGCTCATGAAGGGCCATACAACCCAAATAATCTCATCTTGATACAGCATGGGCTTTCAAAACAGTAGTGCCTTGAGGGTTAAAAGACAAAATGAAGACATGATGAGCTCTGCAATGTATCAAAGGCTACCTACCTGAAGCAAAGACTGTAATTGGTGGAAGTGCCATCGTATCAAGCTTAAGACCTTTCTTTTTTGACTTCTTTTTGTTAATTGAACCTTAAAAAAAAGAAGTTAAATTAGATGATTTCATGGCTAGATCTGAGAATAACAGTTTAAAAAGGATTGTTTACTAAATGTAAACTTCCTCTTAAACTTAGAAAAATGTGGACTACATTAACACAGCATGGCTGTTCCCTAGTGTCTGAAAAGCTAAGAGCAGCAATAGAGTTCCTGTAAAAATTCATGTGTTGCCAAGCACATCACTAGCCTATTACATCCACAGATGTACTACTCAACCCATTTGTTCCAGGATCTTGTGCTGACATGCTGAAACAGAATTTCTCCCATCACAGCTAAAACCATCACATGGCTATACAGACATGACTATATAAAGCAATATATAATACTCAGACCTTTCAATAACAGAAGAGTCAGGAATTTCAAATTTATGCCCAAAGGATGTAAATCAATTAATCCCCATCCATCTACAAATCTATCTAAATACACTCGATACTAAATCAAAGGAACTGAAGAAAATAAATACAAATTAACTAATAATTTAGCCAAGTGAATAGAGGGGAAACTGGGTAAAGAGTTGCAATTATGCATGCAGAAATGTCAGCTACTGCTTTACACATTTTTAATACAAAAACCATGCCCAATGTTTCTGACAATGAAATAACATACACTGCCAGGCTACAGAAACTACTTAAGCACAAATAAATCTGAGAGTACACTTTAAATACATCAGGAAATACTGAGTCTGCAGAACTGAGGTGAAAAGTTTTCATACAACAGTTAGTGAAAATAAGGCCTATCTAATGTTTTAGCTCCTCCAACATAAATATTTTTCAGGGTTTTTTTCACAAATATTTGGACTTTCTCTGAAATACTTACCACGTCCTAAACTTTTATTGAACTTTTCATGCACTGTTGAAAAAGACTGCAATGTTCCATCTTGACCTGACAAAATATTACCAGAGAACAGAGAAGGGCAAAAATCAACTTTCTGTTTACTCATAAGCTATCTGAACAAGAAAAGCAGAAGATAAGCACTAAGAAACCTCAAACATCATAATAACACATTTATACTATAAGTGGCAGAAGTAATGGAGCCTAATTTTCTATGGCCTGTATCTCATTCCTACTACTTTGCCCCACATTTGACCAGAATGACACCACTTTTACGGGCATCTTCTCCACGTTCAATTGCTCTGTCCACCCTCCTTTCTCCATCACAATATCTAGCTGTTCCCTATGAGTAAAACCTTAAATAAACTGTTACATCCTTCAAATACCTTCATAATATTTCCAAAGATTTCCAGAGACCCCATATACTTTCCCACCAACTACAATATTCCTTTCTTTATCCTTTGTCTAACCAACATACGCTGTGGCTGGTTAAGAACTACACCTAGGATAGCCAGGAAGTTGACCCAAACAAAAATGGTAAAAGCCAATCTGTCCATCTTTCCTGTAAACCAGGACACTAATGGGACCTCCAACCTCTACCCAGTGACCAAGGTTCACAGAACTGACAGGAACTTAATTTAATAGAGGCACAGAAGGCTCAAATTTAGCAAATAGATCCAATCTGTGGGGAAGGCATGGACAGGACAGAACCAGAAACTAACAGAAAATGCAATTAAAGGCACTGAGATGATTTTTCAAAATCAGAAGAAGCATAATACATTCTTACCAGGCCAAACAAATAAGGCAACAGAAAATTAATCTAGTCAACTTAAAAAATCTGAAAGACAACGGAACAATTAATAGTATTCAAGCAACCTTTCCTTGCTGCTATGATACAGAAGTAAGGCAGGACATATATTCTGGCAACTGGGAGAAACGTTAAGCAGGATGAGAGCTAATGACCTTGGTGAAATTTTGCAACGTTAATTTATGGAGATTCCCGTTCTAAGGAAACTGATAGCACTTGAAAGGCACCCCATGACATTGCTTCCTCATTTCTGGTGCACAAATTTTTACCACTGGTTCAGAAAGGAATGTAGAGTGTCAGCATCCTTACACTGCAGATGCATCAGATCTCAAAGCCAGAGACCCTTTTCACTTCAGCGGTTGCCTCTGTGCCCTTGCCGTATGTTTGGTACAGATAACAAAACAGTAAACTGCAAAAGCAAATGTGAGGATTTGTAAAGCAACACTTGATTGTTACTATGGTTCACCTGAATGAGCTGAATTACTGTCAAGTAAGTAGTCACTTGAATCCAAGTTACTAGCTGAATGACCAGCAAGACATTTTAGCACAGGTGATTTTAGCACTGTGAATTGCTGTGCTGTAGTAGGTTTAACCTTCATCAAAAAGTAGTGTAGCATTTTCAAACATTGCTCATGTAGACAATTTCATTACTTCAGAGTAATTAAAGATTACGTGATGAGTCTCTATTTTTCCATTCTGAAGTGTTCTGGGCCACAAACCAGTCTGATGTAGTACTTCATTTCCTAGTGGGGCTATTTATAGGTTTTTAAATATGCTGGTTTCTAAGGAAGGGTAGTCACATGCATTTTTACACTTTCAGATTAATACCTTGGTAACAAGCAAATATATATTACAGACATAGCTGAGCTGTAACAAACCACAAAGCCATTGCAACCCACAAAGCTTGCTCAAACTAGGGGGAAAAGTAGAATGGCTCCTCTAAGATTTGAAATGCATTACGCTGCTGATTTTTTCCCTGTCACAACAGAATTTCTATACTTGTTATAGTTTTTCATTTTGACCAGCTGATAGCTCCTTAGGTGATAAAGAAACAATTTTTATTCATCAAACATATAAATATGGATGACAAATGCAGCTCCTAAGCTTTTTTGCTTGTAACTACTTTTCAGCCTACCCACTGATATACATTCCTCTAGGAAAACCGTGAAACACTTCAATACAGTAATAAATGATGCTGTCATTAATCATTTCATAAACACATATTATATATAACACTTGCAATACGATCTATTGTATTAATAACACAAAGACATTTAGCCCTGCATGTTTGCTTTATCACAGCAGGAAATAAGACTCAAGAATAAGAATTCATACCTGCACTAAGAATTTGCTCTCCATTTTGCCCATAATATCTGATTTTAGTTGGTGGTGCACTATGTCCCATCCGGCTTCTCAATACACGTCCTGTACCACCAGGTCCATCAAAAATCCACACCTTTCTCCCCCCAAAAAAAACAGAAAAACAAAGCTGACAAATATTGCCCTGTCAACAATTACATCTCTTGACAGTGCAACGTTTAACAGGGAGCTGGTGCAGCAAACTTCACACACTGGCTTTCATCCTTGATCCTACAGAACTCTGGAAGCTTCCACCATGGCAGCTGATTGTTTCCCGCTGTTCATTCTGCCTCTCCACCAAAGGAGAGGCTAATGGCATGAGAGGACATGTAGCACAAGGGACCTTTACCAACAGCAACTGCTCATAACCCAGAACATCATAAAAATAGATCAAGATTTAAGATGGTGCACTAGGATATAAAGTATGGTTGTGGAAAAGTGGATCCAAAGCTTTGTTCTTCAAGGCTATTATGAAGCAATAAATGAAGCAATGGCACCAAGTCCTTAAATCACCCCACTACAGATCAACTGAGAGCCAGCGACTTCCGCAACTTGAGTTTTGTTGTATTTGATTCATCTAAGAACTGCTACTTCAATCTAAACTGAACATTTACACCTTGGAGGACCACAAGAGAAAAAAAACACAACAGCAGGTGACAGGAGCTATTGTAACTTACCCGTATAGCGTTATCAGCACCATTAGTAATAAGAAGTGGTTCTCCAGGGACAAACGACATACCAGCTATTGCTGTGGAATGGGCATCTTGCATTTGACACATTAGTTTCTTCTCTTCTAGATCCCACAAAGCAATGTGTCCAACTGGGCTACCAGCTGCCATTACTGGGTGTCCATCTGCTCAAAAAAAAAAAAAAAAAACCAAACTCAGAAGGTTTGCTTACTGACATTCAGATCGTCCTTACCGAACTCCTGTAAATTAAAACTGATGCAAGAAAAAGCTACAATCAGAAGAAAAAAATTCTCAACCTGATTCTAAAAATAAGATACCATTTAATTGACATACTCTAGTATTTCAAACAAAAAAGAAACAAACTTCATTGATAATAAAACCAGGATTTTTTTTAAAGTCAGATAACAACAAATATATCTAAATTCAGCAGCTGATGATAGAGGTTTTGATTGTAAGCACAGGATATTGCACCTCACCATTTTCAAAAGTTACTCTACACCTCAGATTCTTCCCCAAACTTACTAGCCTTCACAATTTGGGATGTGAGAGCTACTGTATCACCACTCTAAAAGTTATCAGTCATTTTTAAAAAATCTTAAGTCTTTGGCTCAACAGCTTGCAAAAATAAATTCCAGAAGTTGATTACACTTTTATTCAATCATTCTAAGCAATAATCGAAACCTCACTTCACAGAATTTCTAGTTTTGCTCTATCCTTTCTAATATTAAGGAGATAAATACATCATGCTAACTTCTAAAAATATACTATAAATATTCAAGTAAGTTTTAAAACTTACCATATCATGATAAGATTTGACCAAATACCCTGCATGATTGATAACTAATATTTTCGCCCTAACAAATGAAAAAGCCAGTTTCCAATTTGCAGTTACACACACATCACAGATAAATAAACCAGACAGGCCTAGGGTTTTATTTTTCAGTAAAACTTCATAGATATGTAAATTTACCAAGTTGACTATGAAGAGCATTTTAATCAAAAACTGAGTATATGAGTTCAAAAACCAGATTGTATTCACACTAAATTTCCTAGCCATAAAGACAGGAAGAGAGAGAGATTAGAAAATGTCTGAAAGCCACACATATAAGCAGGTAGCAGAAGCTATTTAACTTTATTAACATTTTGAGTTGAACGGCTGACACAGAAAGGCACTCT